CACATTTTGAAAACGACTCGCCGCCAGTCCGTGAAACTCTTGCAAATGTTTGAAACGAATGTGCGCCGCGCTACAGCGAGAGCTACATTATGAAAACCATTCGCTTTCCATCCGTGAAACTCCTGCAATTTTTTTGAACGAATGTGCGCCGCGCTAATCGATAACTGCATTTTGAAAACGGCCCGCCTTCAACCCGTGAAACTCTTGCAAAATGTTAAAACGAATGTGCGCCGCTCTGAAGCGAAAACTACATTTTGAAAACGACCCGCCTTCAATCCGTGAAACTCGTATAAAGTTTAAAGCGAATGTGCGCAACGCCGAGGCGAGAGCCACATTTTGAAAACGACCCGCCTTCAATCCGTTAACTTGTTGCCAATTTTAAAGCTTCAGGGTCGTAAGTGGTGAGGAAGTCTCAGGCGAAACGCCCAGCCCGCCCTAAAAATTGGCTTCGAGGTGCGACAGGGAGAAGCTATTTATAAGGAACAGGAATGGGGGAGGAGGGGGAGGAGGAGGAAAGAGGAGGAAAAGGAGGAGGAAAAGGAGGAAAAGGAAGGAGGAGGACGAAGAGGACGAGGAGAACGAGGAGGACGAGGAGGGATAGATGATGGCGGAAGAACGCGTTGGTGCTCTGTTCATCATCGCCCCCCCTGTTCCCGCCCGCCTCCCCGCACTCCCTTCCGTCCGCCGTCCGTCCTCCCAATCTTTCCCTGCCCCCCCAGCCATGGAAGTCGCTGCCTTCCTGCTCCGGCAGGTGCGTCGTGCAAAACGCATGTATTGTCTTGCCAGCAGGTGCCTCCATGGAGATGGGGTTTATCTCCCGACAGCCCTGGGCGGCCTCCAGGAGTGGGGTGGCCCCCTCACGCAGGAAGTCCTGAACGGACGACAGATGTGGCCATGGATAACCTTCTAGCAATATTTCTTGTCGCGTGTCCTCTTGGGGTGCTTTTCCATGGACTTTTCCTTCGGCATGCTCTTCGCTCTTTTGCTACGTCTTCGCCGAGATTATGAAGGAGCCTGACCCGCGGCGCCGCTTGAAAAACTACACGGCCTGAGGGCTCTCCGCCCGTTCAGCGGCCGTTCCCTCCTCCCCTTTGGCCCCTCCTCTGCTTTCGCCGTAGTAATGAGCTACGGACGCGTCCCGCCGTTGGTTCGACCGCCTGCCGGACCCAGCTCACCGTGGACCGGAACGTGTATGCCTGCTGGGCCGTGCCCCCCGGCCGTCCTCGCGCTCCGTCCCAGCCACGGCGGTGGCGTTGCACTCCTCCTCCTCGGCGCACCCCCCCCCCCCCAGGAGGAAGAGGAGGAGGAGGAGGAGGAGGAGGAGGAGGAGGAGGAGGAGGAGGAGGAGGAGGAGGAGGAGGAGGAGGAGAGGAGGAGGAGGAGGAGCCCGTTTCTTTATTACTTGGGGCATGACGGGCGTCATGGCCCCCGCTCCCCCCCTCCCCCCCCCTATGACGTAACGCTCCCCCCCCCATTGCGCTCCGGGCACGGCCGCCGTGCGCATTGGGATCCGCGTAGTGGTCCCCGTAGGAATCCGCATAGGTGTCTGGTCCGCAGGCGTCGTCGTCGTCGTCGTCCGTCGTCGTCGCTCGTGGTTCGTCGCTCGTCGCTCATCGTCGTCGTGCGCGCGGACGCGGTTGGAGCCTGTTCTTAAGTCCGGGCCGATGACGGCAATCATCTGGGGGGGGAGGTGGTCGATGACGTCACGTTTCGCACCGGCGGCGTTTGGGAATGCTTAGGAATGACGGAGGACGGGTAGCACGAACATGTAGGTGGCGAAATGCACCACAACGCCTGTGTACATCACAGTGCCCGCGTGCACCACAGCGCCTGCGTACACCACACCGCCGATGTACACCACAGCAGCCGCCTGCAACACAGCGTCAGTTTGTGCCACCGTGCCTGCGGGCACAGCAGCTCCTGTGTACACCACAGCGCCTCCGTACACCACATCGGCCATGCGCAGCACAGCACAAGTGTACACCACAATGCTTGCGTGCATTGCAGTGCCTGTGTACGCCACGGCGCCTGTGTGCACCACATCAGCCGTGTGCAACACAACACCATTGTTGTGTATAGAATTTCAGAAGGAATCCTTGTGACAAAATGGAGCGCGTGTGGATTCCAGAGAAAACAATGGAAAACAAATCCTCATGGACGAAGGAGTGCCGCTGGAATCTACGAGTCCCCCCCAGTCCGCCCGCATCACCCTAACTCCCACTTGCGTCCAGGAGGCTTCAGCTAAACTGGCCGTCCGAGAACCAAATGGACCGATTCAATCGACCATTCTGCGGTGCACGCTGAGATGCGCACGTGCGTTGTAACGCCAAGCCGCACGACAGGGGGTAAGGAGGAGGAGGAGGAGGAGGAGGAGGAGGAGGAGGAGATGGAGGAGGAGGTGGAGGAGGAGGAGGAGGAGGAGGGAAAAACGTCGCATTCGATTATCAGAACTTTCCTGGCGTGGCGTTTAGTTGTCCGCAGCAGATCCTGACGTACATGCTCCTTCTACCTGTCTTATGCACGCAGGCGCTGTGGTGTACACCAGCGCTGCGTTGCACGCGGATGCTGTGGTGTAGACAGGCGCTGTGGCGTGCACAGGCGCTGCGGTGCACGCAAGCACAGCGGTGTACACAGGCGTTGTGTTGCAAATGGTTGCTGCGGTGTATGTGCACCAGCGTTGTAGTGCTCCCAAGTATTGTGGTATACGCGGGCGATGCGTTGCACACGGCTGTTGCGGTGTACGCAGGCGCTGTGGTGCACACGCGTGGTGTGGTGCACGCCAGCGTTGTGGTGTTCACAGGCGTAATGGGCAGATCGCCACTTACATGCTGCTCGCGCCGTCGTCGTCGCTCGTCGCTCGTCGCTCGTCGCGTCGTGCGCGCGGGCGCGGCTGTGGTGCCGGAGCCACACGGCGGGGGGGGGCGTCACGTCATACCCCCCCCAACGGCCGCGGCGTCACGTCATCCCCGCCCGTACCCCAACCCTCATCCCGACATAACGAAACGCGCTCGAAGAGGAGGAAGAGGAGGAGGAGGAGGAGGAGGAGGAGGGAAAGGAGGAGGGAAAGGAGGAGGAGGAGGAGGAGGACGGAGGAGGAGGAGGAGGAGGAGGAGGAGGTAGAGAGGAGGAGGAGGAGGAGAGGAGGAGGAAGGGAGGGGAGGGGGAGGGGGAGGGGAGAGGGAGGAGAAGGGAGAGGAGGAGGAGGAGGAAAAGGAGGAAAAGGAGGGATGATGAGGAGGAGGAGGAGAGGAGGAGGAGGAGGAGGAGGAGGAGGAGTCGGACCACGAGGAGGAGGAGACGGACACGAGGAGGAGGAGGAGGGGAGGAGGAGGAGGGAGGAGGAGGAGGATGAGGAGGAGGGGAAGGAGGAGGAGGAGGAAGACGAGGAAAGGGAGGAGGATGAGGATGAGGATGAGGATGAGGAGGAGGAGGCGGACACGAGGAGGAGGAGGAGGAGGAGGAGGAGGAGGAGGAGGAGGGAAAGGAGGAGGAGGACAATGAGGAGGAGGAAAAGGATGAGGAGGAGGAGGACAATGATGAGGAGGAAAAGGATGAGGAGGAGGAGGACGAAAACGAGGAGGATGATGAGGCGGAGGAGGAGGACTCTTTTTTTTTGACGCAGCATTCCCCTTCATTCACATTTGGTCAGTCAGGCGCCGCCACCACGAAGAGGACGAGGTAGAGGCCCTCCCTCGTAATTTATCAACGACGTTTACGAAGAAATATGCGACGAGGCCCACTTTGAGCAGCACGAACACAAAGGCGCTCCACGGCCTGCATGACCAGCAGCAGCAAGAGGCCCAGCACGTAATGAAGTATAACGGTATGGCATACAACTCGAAGACAAACACACCAGAGCCCGAACCCACCGATCACAGTCTGCGCGTACGAACCCGCGTGCCGCATAGCAACAACAGGCAAGGCGTCACCCAACACCCACAATGCCCCCGAGCCCAAAACTATACCATACTCCCTGCAGGCGAGAACTCGAAGAATGGCACCTCAAAGCTGTACGAGGAGGTCTGAGGAGACATCCATACCAACTGAAACAATGAATCATAAAGCACCGCGCCTCCAAACAGCAACGGACGAAAAACGCCTTGCATGCCCCGTGGGCCTTAGCAGGCTAGCCTTAATGTTCCGCCGCGAGAGGGAACGAACCCTGTGCCGCGACACCGACGTAAGTGAACAAGAAGCATAACCTCAGACCATGCGGGAAACAGCGCCATCGTAGCCAAATCCCAGCGTTCATCTCTGCGAAAACCTTGTCCTCGCCGGCGCACTAGTAGTAACCACACGTACGGTACAGAGCATCCGCGGGTCAAGCGACCGGCTTGAACCTAGCAGGCTTGACCCCAGATGTCACTTGAGAGGAGGAGGATGAGGAGGAGGAGGAGGAGGAGGAGGAGGAGGAGGAGGAGAGCTGGAGGAGGAGGAGGAGGAGGAGGAGGAGGAGGACGAGGAGGAGGAGGAGGAGGAGATGGAGGAGGAAGAGGAGGAGGAGATGGAGGAGGAAGAGGAGGGGGAGAAGGAGGAGGAGGAGGAGGACGAGGAGGAGGGGAAGGGGAGCCCCGCGCTGGCTCCCACTCGTAATCCCGCCAACCTCGGGCCATCTGCCTCCGTCTGGCTGCCAGGTGCTCACCCCCGCGAGTTCTCTCCATGCGCTGCGGCGGAGACGCGCTTTCGCGGGGCTAGGACATGGGCAGCTGGTTTCGAAGTGCTCTCAGAGCGTTCTGGAGTGCTCCGGGCAGGCCGCGGCGCCCGATACATCCGTCGGAACTGCCAGATCTCAGGGACTCCGATTTCTCTTGGTCCGATTTTGCCCGTCCTGGCTTCGTCTTCGGCGCCAGGCTCTCCTCCCTGCCTTTCTCCTCTGCTCTTTTTCGGCATGAGAGTGGTGTGCGTGCGTCGCTCAAGGCCCCTGGCGGAAACTCCTGTGGAGGTCCTATCTTCTCTGCATCGCCTTATGGTTTTCCACACGGAGTCTCCCTCGCGCGCAGGTCTAAGGTCATCCCGTTTGGCTACGAGAGCGAGATCGAGTTTGTCGTGATGGAGCACGACACGTTCTCCAGGAACCATGGTGCAGAAAGATATACCCCAGGGACGGGGCAGATGGGATAGAACATGTTGGTGAATGGATCGGGGGTAGGGGAACAGGGGAGGAATCCCTCTTTGCGAACAGAACAGACCAATCGTATCGTCTTCTGTTCACGCCCGCATGGGAGCACTTTCACTCAGCGGAGCCCCCCGAAAACCCCCCCGCTGTCCACTACAGCCGACCCGCAGAGTAAGGACGAGCGAGTCTTCCAGGGGTGCCCTTGCATCCTTCCCCCTTCGGCCCATCCCTGGCCGCTCTCGCTGGCCGCGCCCCGCTCGCAGAGCGCCGACATGGCCCTCCGGGGCCCTTGCATCCTTGATCGCGCAGCCTTGTTATACGGGTTCGCTGTAACAGCCCACGACAGACCGGCGGAGCCTCAGGCGGGCCTGCACTGAAGGGGCCCTGGGACACACAAAGAACGACACACAAATAACAGGACTCCCCATGTTTTCCTATACGTTCTGGGTTTTTGCCTTCCCCCCCCACTTTCCATATTTTCCCATAGTTTCTGGGAAATCGTCGATGAATTGTGTCTGTTTTTTTTTTTTTCCCTCCTGATGCACCACCGAGGCAAGCGTGGCGGGCTGCCGGTGCGGGACCCCGGGGGGGGGGCTGCCAGAGGGCCCCTGGGCGAGGCCCTCGGTGGGGCCCAGGAGGAGCTGCGGGCAGGCAGTGGGCAAGGAGTGCGAGACGAGGTTCCAGAGCTTCGGTGCGGAGTGAAGCGATCGCCCCCCCCCCCCCCCAGTTCCGAGGCGGGAATTTATCCATATCCGCCGCCTGGAGGGTGAGTTTTCGGAGCCTCGGTAGGCGGTGGATATGGACATCTTCGCCCCCCCCCCCGGGGGCCGAAATATGTCCATATCCACTGCCCGCTGGGGCACCAGGACGTCGGTCCCCAGGCGGTGGATATGGATAAATCCCCGCCTCGCACCAGAGGATCTTGGAGCGGGGCGGAGGGCACGGAGGGTGGAAGGTGGAGAGGGGGGGCGGGTGCGGCGGAGGAAGTACTGGAAGGTGCGGGTCCTGGTCGTCCTCCCCTTTCCTGCCCTTCCCTCCCTCTCCTCGTCCTCCTACGCCCTTTTCCCCTCCCCCCTTCTCCCCCTCATTCGTCTCTCCTTCCTCTCCCCCTCTCTTCTCCTCGTCTTCCCCTTCTTCTCCTTGCCCCCACGCTCCGCGCGCCAGGCACGACCTCCTCTGCCGCGGCCGGATCGGGATCTCCGAGTTCGAGAAGCAGGGGCTCCGCCAGGGGCAGATCTCTTGCCGTCCTTCGGTCCTCCTCCTCCTCCTCCTCCTCCTCGTCCTTCTCCTCCTCCTTCTCGTCCTCCTCCTCACGACCTCCTCCTACTCCTCCTCCCCCAGAGATCCGACGCTCCAAAAAATCGGAGCGGGCGGGCTGTTTTCGGTCCCTCGCCAGGCCCTGGGACCGTCAAAAAACGGTTGAGGAAGAACAACTGGTCCTAGGGAAGCGATCCAGACCTCCGGGGCCCACTCCTCGCACAAATTGGAGCAGCCCGATGTCTGGGCCATCGATTTTTCTCAGCGTGGCTCCTACCTGCCGCGCCCGCAGACGTCTCGGTGGGGCGGGCTGGGCGCTTCGCCGGCGTCCTCGCAACCTGTGATCCTGAAGTTGCTCGGAGGGAGGGGGCCGTTTCGAAAATAGGGCTCTCGCCTCAGTGCCTTGCGCATTCGCCCTAACATGTTGAAACCGTTTTTGGGATGGATGGGAGGGGCGGGGCGTTTTCAACAGGGGGCTCTCGCCTCAGCGCCGCGCACATTCGTCCTAACAAGTTTGCAACACCTATGAGGATGGAGGGGAGGTAGTTTCAAAATGGGGCTCTAGTTTCATTGCCGCGCAAATTAGACGTAACTGTTTGAATGAGGTGCACAGATGGCGGGCGGTTCCTGACCAAAACTGTGCTCTCGTCTCAGCGCCGCGCATAGTCGTCTTCTGATGCTGCAACAGTATGGTGATCAAGTGTGTGTGTGTGTGTGTGTGTGTGTGTGTGTGTGTGTGTGCGTGTGCGTGTGCGTGTGCGTGTGCGTGTGCGTGTGCGCGTGTGTGTGTGTGTGTGTGTGTGTGTGTGTGTGTGTGTGTGTGCGTGTGGTGTGTGTGTGTGTGTGTGTGTGTGTGTGTGTGTGTGTGCGCGCGCGCGCGCGTGTGTGTGTGTGTGTTTGTGGGGCGGCGATCTTCGAACTTGGCGCTGCGCGCATTCTCTTACAACCTTAGCAGCAGTCGCGTGAACAGATGGCGGTTCTTCCCCTGACCGCGGCTCTCGCCTCAGACCTCCTCAGACTTCGCAGACAGGCACGGGAACCTGCGCACTGGCTGCACGGCTGGGGCCCACTCGTCCATTCTCACTGGCTCTCCCAGCCTCAGTGCCCCGCCTCGCCCGGGAGCGCGCGGCCTCGCCGTCGATGGATGGCCCGCCGCCGAGCTGTCGCAACGGGCCGCCGATTCGGCTGGCCCCCTCCCCCCCCCCGTCGTTCCCCGCTGGACGTCGAGGAGGCGCGGACCCGGACCGAGGCGCGTGGAATCCGCGGCGGGTCCCGTCTCCGTGCAGAGGCGGCGACGCCCCGTCGCCCCACCAGGGCGGCGCTGGCCTCGCTGTTTCGGGGGGCACTCTCACGATCCGCGTATCCGTGAGCCATGTCGGCGTGCGCCAGAGTCAGAGGAGGAGGAGGAGGAGGAGGAGGAAGGAGGAGGAGGAGGAGGAGGAGGAGGAGGAGGAGGAGGGGAGGAGGAGGATGGGGGAACGACGAGGAAGAGGAGGAGGAGGCGGAGGAGGAGGAGTAGCGAGGATGAGGATGAGGGTGAGGATGAGGAGGAGGAGGAGGAGGACGACGAGAAGGAGGAGATGGAGGAGGAGAGGGAGAAGGAGAAAGAGGAGTTGGAGGAGGAGGAGGAGGAGGAGTAGGAGGAGGATGAGGGGGAGGCGGAGAACGAGGAGGAGGAGGAGGAGGAGGAGTTGGCGCGATGATGACTATGCTGATGCTGATGATGACGACGATGGTGCTGATGATGCTGATTCTGATGATGATGATGACGATGATGATGTTGACAATGATGCTGATTACAATACCGCTGATGATGATGACGATGACGGTGACGATAGCGGTGATAATGATGACGATGCTGATAGTGATGATGATGATGCTGATTATGATGATGATGATGATGATGATGATGATGATGATGACGATGATGATGCTGATGTTGATGATGATGATGTTGATGATGATTATGATGATGATGCTGATGATGATGATGATGATGATGATGATGATGATGATGAGAAAGAGCGTGTTCTTCCGCTGCTGGCGGAACACCGGGGGGGGGGTCACTGGGGGTTCTTAACCTGTCCCCCCCTCGAAAACTGGAGTCGACGGCCCAATGTTGACGGAGTCGACTGCCCAATATTGACACCACGTGACATGATCCGACATGGTCCAACCAGGCTGCACCGTGCCACAGACCGCGCACGCGCCCTGCTGCTTCTTGAACCTCCTGTTCCACGCCCACTTGCTGCAGCACGCGCAGTGAGCGAAGGCATTTTTGCCGACCATCCACTCCGACAGGAGCTCACGAGGTGTTGCTTCAGCAGGAGCTCACACATATACTTAACAATGGTTCGGGAAACAGAGCTATCCCGTTCTGGCACGAAGTCGCGGACCCCCCCAATGCATATCACTTTCAGCCAGACTCGCTACGGGAGGAGGAGGACGAGAAGGAGGAGGAAGAGGAGGAGGAGGAGCAGGAGGAGGAGGAGAAGTCGGAGGAGGAAGAGTCGGATGATGATGATGATGCTGCTGCTGATGCTGATGATGTTGATGATGATGACGCTGATGATGATGATGATGATGATGATGATGCTGATGATGATGATGATTATGATGATGACGATGGCGCTGATGATGATGATGATGATGATGTTGATGATGATGATGACTGCTGATGATGATGATGAGATGAGATGACGCTGATGATGATGATGATGATGATGATGATGATGATGATGATGATGATGATGATGATGATGATGATGAGGATGAGGATGAGGATGATGATGATGATGGATGGATGATGATTGCGATGACGACCTGCTGGACGCTGATGATGATGATGAGCATGTCGCAGGCCTCGCACCAAAGCGCCTCGGAATCCGACCCGTCGGCCTCAGCAATGACGACAGTTCAAGCGGCATTCACACGTACGCTCCATGAAAGACGGGATGATGAAAGCGTCGATGCACCAGAACACATGGATGGCGGCGCATGGATCCAGGAGGCCCCCCCTCGCTGCAGGGAAGCTGCCCGCCTCAACGGTGAAGAACACGTTGCTGAGACCGTCGCCATTGCCGGAGGCAACCTCGAGGGCAGCGCTCGCGACGATGGCATCACAGCTGCGTCCACGTCGGCGCACCCGCACACCTGCTCCGACTCCCGCGGCTCCGTGGCAGCGAACCCCGACGATGGCCCATCCGAGCACGCAGGCGCCTGCGAGAGGTGGGGATGCGACAGCCGTATCACGCCTTACTGCCTCCTTCTCCTCAGCCTCGAAACTGGTCCGGCGAGGGGGGCAGGGTTCCCAGAGTGGCACCCAGAGGCCCTGCAGGAGGCTGGAGGGAGCCAGGCCTGGCCTGCAGGCCAGCCCACGACCTCCTGCTGCTGCACCTGCTCCGCGAAGCTGCAGGGGGCCTCCGCCATGGCCTGCACGCCGAAGCCCTCGCCGGGGAGCCCGCTCCCGTGCCCGCCGCCAGGCACGCAGGGCACGGCATGCTCCGAGAGGACCTGCACAGCGCCGACGCCGCCGACGGAGCCCGCGCGCGCGGCCACCCCCCCCGCCTGGCTCCGCACGCTGCCCCCTGGCCTCGAGCCCAGGTCCGTGCTGAGCCTGCCGCAGGGTTGGCGCGTCCGCCGCGCCGATGGCGACGCCCGGCGCATCGGAGCGAAGCGCCACGCTCCTGCGCAGCCTCGCCAGCCACCCGGGAGAGCGCCCCTCGAGCGTCGCCGTCAGCGCCGGGAGAACGGCGCGAATGGGCACCGCCACCTCTGCGCCGCCCAGCAGCCCGTCCAGCGCTCCCACGGCTGCTTCCAGCTCGGCCTTGGTGCGGGCCAGCTCGCCAGAGAGCTTGGCCGCGGCCCTGTCCGCGGAGAGGCGAGCCCAATCGCGGGCTGCCTTGCGCTCGCCAGGCGAGCGTATCGGACGGGCAACGCCCCCGTCCTCCCGCGCCATCGCTCCGTGAACCCGAAGCCCCGCTCCCCCAAGTCCCCCACGCCCGCCACGTTGCCCCGTGAAGCTGGGGTCTCGGGGTACGCCGGGGGACAAGGTGCAGGAGCGGGGGGCCTACGGACAGGCATGAGCCAAGATGGCTACGAACGGAGGAGGAGGAGGAGGAGGAGGAGGAGGAGGAGGAGGAGGAGGAGGAGGAGGAGGAGGAGGAGGAGGAGGAGGAGGAGGAGGAGGAGGAGGAGGAGCGTCTTGCCACAGGTTCGACGGGACCGTGCAGCTCGACATCCCGGAGGACGCGCGGGGGCAGACGGGCGACAGCGCAGGCGCGGGCCGCGCCCTCAGCCGCGGCCCCTTCGGCTGCAGTGCGCCCCTGCGCCCGTGACCTGATTCGGCGCGACCTTTCCGCGTCCTTCCGGGCCGATTGGGAGGCTTGGCATCCGTCTGGTTCTGCGGCGCGTTTCCTGCTCCTGGCCCGTCTCCTGCAGACTTCTCCCGTGCTCCGTCCTCCTCCCTCCCCCATCCATCTGTCCCCTCTCCTCTCCTGTTTGAGGGGCTGCATTAGTTACACGCGGCATGCAGGGAAGGTATACCCCCGAGGGGATACGATCGAAGCCGAAGAGGCCAGGTTTGAGGGTTAGGGATGCTCGTGTTGAATGGCACGCGAGCAAGTAATAACGAAACACATTGAAGTTATAGTTCTTGTAGTACTTGTAGTTGAAGTTGTAGTTGTATTTGCAGTAGTGGTGGCAGTATCGGTAGTAACCGTATCATTCTTATTGTAGTAGTAGTCGTAGTAGTAGTAGTAGTAGTAGTAGTAGTAGTAGTAGTAGTAGCAGCAGTAGTTGTCGTAGTTGAAGTTGAAGTCGTAGTAGTGGTGTAGTAGTAGCAGTAGTAGCAGCAGTAGTAGTAGTAGTAGTAGTAGTAGTAGTAGTAGTAGTTATATTAGTAGTAAGAATAGTCGTAGTAGTAGTAGTAGTAGTAGTAGTAGTAGTAGAAGTAGTAGTAATAGTAGTAGTAGTAGTAGTAGTAGCAGTAGTCGTAGTAGTCGTAGTAGTCGTAGTAGT